ACCCGCTTCCTCACTTTTTTGGTAGTTCCCCTTTTTGAAAATAAATGCTACTATGGTGGGCTTCTTTCGTATCCTTTCTCTCCTCCCCCCCCCCCCCAAAGATGTAATTAAATGTAACATTTATGGTCGTTATTACTGAGCTGTTGAGCTACATTCAGCTCTTGGACTAGATCGTGTGCAATTTAAGACTAAATCAAAAATTGCCTCTACCCTTGTGGGTTCCAGGACTAGCTGCTCCAAGAAATAGCCATTAATGATGTCTAGAACTTTTTATCTCTGCATCCTGTCCATAGGTGACATGTACCTAGTTAATATGGGGATAGTTAAAATCCTCCATTATTACTGAGTTTTCTATTTTTGTGGCACTTCGATCTCCCGGAGCATTTCACAATGACCATCACCATCCTGGTCAAGTGGTCAGTAGTATATTCCTGTTGCTATACTCTTATTATTCAAGCATGGAATTTCTATCCATAGAGATTCTATGGTACAGTTTGATTCATTTAAGATTTTTACTGTAATTAACTCTGCTTTCTTTCACATAGTGCCACTCCCACACGGGTATGATATACTCTGTGATACCTATATACAGTACACCCACACTATAATGAACCCAGTCCCTGGATCCCATTTCAAATCGGAGGTTTTACTGATGGAAAACTAAGGAACTAAAAGATTTAAATGACTTGCCCAAGATCCCACAGAAAGTCTGACAGAGACAGGAAGTAAGCCCAGATCTCAAGATCACATCTTTCCTCTCTGCTTTGTGACCTAAGGTTCCATTCCATTTAAATCTCTCATAACTTCTCAGGAAAATTCCTTGTTGCCACTTTGTGAGATGTTTCCTCTCGTGACAATCTCCTGCCCACCCTCCTGACTGCCTGTTTCATAGATCAGCTCTTGTCTTCTGCCCCATCCTGTTGTTCAAGGCTGTCAAATTCATTGGAGAGGAGTTGGGGCATCAGTCTACTCTGTTTTATCATCAGGCAACCTTTGCTGTCTAGGCCCCCTGTTGTTGTCATATGCCAGATTGTGTTGTCAGTGTGAGGCTTCCTAGCAAGGAAGGTCCTCTTCCAGAAATGTAATACAGGCTTTTTAAAATCAGTGCATGGATCCAAATGTTGCAGTAGCAATATAGCAGGTTGTGGGATTTCTGAATCGAGAGAAACAGAGGGAGCTCTCTTTGGGGGAGGGGATCCTCAAATTCCTAAAACTAATACATTTTTAAAAGACCAAGATTGATCACTTATCCACATTGACCCTCACTTTAAAAATGCAAAAGCAGAGTTAGCAAAAATTCATTCCAGTTGCACTTCAATTCACAATATAGACTCCTTTTCAGAAAGGTGGCCACCTATAGGGAATAAGCGTATGAGCACTTATTCTCATAGTGATCTATTTGCATATGCAACTGCTGGATTTGTACACAATTTAGGAATCTAGTTTTGAAAACCTGGCCCAAATATATGAGTAGAACTAGGCAAAACTACTTATCCTCTGTAGAGGGTGTCATGGCTGTAAAATAAATTATAATTTTTAATGCTGTGGGGTCTCTCCTTTTTAGAGTCTATTGTGTATCCTAGATTGATAAAACACAGGTTGTGTTCTGACATACTATTTATTTTCCCATGGTTTTTGAGGATGTCTGAATTTTTTTTTTTTTTGTAGTATTCTTTAACAGTCTGTTGGTATCTCACAGGATTTGCAATCACTTCTGTTTATTTAAATACCATTTACAGCTGGAAGTGTTTGTTTCTCCTTTTTAAAGACTTGGGATTTTATCAACTATAATTCTGTAAACTGTGTTGTCCAGTCATCATTTTGAATCTGTTTATAGAGGACTAAGCAATTTGCTACTTTTTTAAAGTTATGCTATTGGAAGCATCATAAACACTGAACATTTTGCAGCATTCTTCTATAATTTGTTCTATGTTTAAAAAACATAGAAGAATTCCTTGGTTATTCTTGGATCATGTGTAATGTTGCTGCTATTGTCATTATTTAAAGATTTATATTGGATATGCTGATAGAATAAAAATAGTTTTTGTTCTCAGTTTTCAGTTTCATTAGCCTTCAGACTTCCCTGGAAATGCTGCTTCCTTATACTTGAATACATTTTTAATATAAAGTGGGTACTCCCTGGGTATCTGGTTTTGAGCATTCCCAACAACACTGTTGGAGCCAATGAGAGAGCCTTCTCTTTTCAGATTACTTTACTTTATAAAGGAGTGTATCATAAGTAGATTGATTGTGTAATCTCTTACATGTAATATAGTTTTATTCCCTGCATTGCAGGCCCTAAGCCAAAATCTTTATTGCCTGCAAGATTTGTTATGCAACAAAAGATGAAGACTTGCAGAAAATAAAATGGCTTGAGTTAAAATAAATATTTATTAAGTCATTTTAGTATAGTGTGATAGTGCTGAAAATATGCTCAGCGCTGTGCAGGAAAAGACAGTCCCTGCCTTGAAGATATTTGTCTGTTAGCTGAAAATCCCTAGTGAAGACCAGAAAGCCAATATTTGCACTGGTAAAAATCGTTTTGCTTGAAGTTGTAATAAACTCCACCAGTGGAAATAGTAGCTTTGACTGACTATATTAGAGGTGTGCTAGTGCAGCTATATTAGTGGCTGGCCACTGATAGCTGTAAATGAGGCTAGTCCCCAGTCTACACATGGCCTAAAAAGAAGATTAAACAGATGAAGTGTGGGGAAAAGGGATATACCATGCAATCAAAATGCTTATGATGAAAATGAGTATTCATCTTGTTAGTGCCACAGTTTTCCTGTTTGTTTCTATCTAAAACAATCTGCAACTGCCTCTCCAGCCATTTTTTAATTCCTCATCTAACTCTCACCCACGGTCTCACAATTACATGAAAAATTATTTTTCAAACCTACTGAAATCCCACCTAAACTGTCTCCTTATCCATGCTTGCCTATCTGACCTCCCTTAAATCAGCAAACCTAGGTTCTTGTCCCCCTCCTGCTTCTTTATTGGAATCTTCCTCTTTCCACAGTCAGCCCCAGCCTTTGACAATCATCTGTTGCAACTCATTTTTAATTCCGGTTTATAAAAATTCCCTATCTGGTAAAACCACAACTTATTACGCTTCCTTAAAATCTACCCTTCTCTCCCTCCTGATCTCCTTCCCAACCAAACCCTGTGCCCATAAAACATGGTGAGCCTGAGTTTTATTTCTGTTCTTAGTACGCTTCCCTCGAACAGCCAGGTCTTTCCACTGTGCGAGGTTTCCTTCCACTCCAGAATTCTTGCCTGGGGTGGGTAGTGTCTTGGACCCTATGCTGCATTGTGTGGGATATGGGGGGTAGGTTCAAACAGTACCATGTCCAGAGTTCAAATTTTGAAATGAAGCTGTGATGTTACTGGGCTCTGGGGCCTCAGTGGCACATTGCTTCTCTACTGCCTAACAGCAATCAGGGAAGGCCTTTCCTCAATATGGCCCAGGAGTCTGGAGGGAGGGGGAGGGTGTGTAAGAGGGGGACTCTTGTGCCTTGGAGAGGGAGGTCCAGACTAGATGCTGTCCTCACCAGAACTGCTACTCTGCAGTTCAGGAAGTCTCTCCTGAGATGGGGGGGAAGGGAGGGGAATTTTGGAGGGGTATATTTCTTCACTGTTGTATTTTCTCTGATAGTGGATTGATTTAGTACTCATACCTGCAAACAAATGTTAACATGGGTGAAAGCTGTGTTTGCAGTCTCATAGGCTCCCACTTTACTCCTCAGAATTGCAGCTCTAGTTATCTCTAACACATTAGATCAAATACTTTTTTTAAATGAGCTAGTAATTATAATGGTGGTCTGACCAATGCTACTTTCAAACCTTGCTGTAAAAGATTTTTTTTTTTTTTAAGGTGTTTCTTAATTGGTGCAAAAATCACTGCATAAACAACTGACTGTTGCTTTCCTTTTGATACTGTTTGGCCTTCAGTATTTAGTTTCCTAATATTGAAAGTAATCATTGGTAATCTTAATCTCCCAGTTGCTCCTGCAAATATAAGCAGCATTATCCTCTGTGTTCTGAAACCAGGTAGCTTGAAGTTAAGCAATCTAGGTCTCCTCCGGAGGTAAAGTTGTTATGGCTAGAACTTGATATTTTTCTCATATTTTTATATTAAAAAGTAAAAACAACCTACAAAAATGTTTTATGCTGTATATACCATAAAGGAGTAGAAAAGGGTGCACACATTTTCCTTTGTAGTTCACCTTTAAACTATCAAGTGATATGCAATAAAGTCTCTGTGCTTTAAGAGGTCCATAAGAATATTTATCATAAGAAACAAAGTAGAATTGAGAAATGTCCTGATTTTATATGGAACTTTATAAGTCAAATTACTTCACTATTTCCAGTCATATTTACTGGGAGAAGTAAAAGGCATCGGAGGGGCCATATAACAATAAGTATTCAAAACAAATCACAGACAAAAGCTAGGTAAATTTTCCCGTATAAAGATTTAAGCATAGAATATTGTGTAGCAAATTGCTTAATAAAGACTTGAAAGCCAACTTTGAGAAAACCGCATATTGCATGTTGGTGCTGTAATCAAGTAATAAGTTCATATGATTGTTCTGTTTAAATGTTTTATTGCAACATTTAGTAAAGAACTTTTGTTATGATGGATAAAAACTTCCCTAGTTTAAGATATGGCCCCAATTTTCCAATGAGCTCTACATAGATTGACTTTCTCTTTGCCCACCCTCTCCCCCACCATTGAAGTTGATGTTGTTGAGCATGCTATGCAGGGGTCCAGCTCTGTGGGTCTCACTGCAGGATCTGAATTTGTGTGTAAGTATGCGCTAAGCATTCATTATAAAAATTTTATGTATTTATAACACAGTTGGGAAGTGCTGAAGAGATTGCAACATATGCTACCATTTCTTAAGTTATTAAGTAAATTAAAACTAATTCTGCAGGAATTTTGTATTTTATGGTACGAAAACATATTGTCCTTATTTAACTCGTGCTGTCTTTCTTTGCAGGTGGATACACGGAGCATACCAGTGTTAGCAAAATGGCAAAATTCTTATAGCATTAAAGTTGTACTTCAAGAGCTAAGACGTCTAATGATGTCCAAAGAAAATATGAAGCTTCCACAACCTCCAGAAGGACAAACTTACAGCAATTAATTTTAGCTGATTCTCAAACTTCTGTCTTAAAACAACAACCTTCTACTCATATTAATGTCTTGATTAAATCTCACAATGCAAACCACCCACACATTAAAAGAATTTCAGCTGGTATACATGACCTGGACATTTGTAAGAATATATATAATATATGTACGCCCAGTATGTTTTTAGGCACTATGGGAGGAAAAAAAGGCAGCACAATTTATTTTTTTCTCTTATCAAGACACTGTCATTTAAGCATAAGCCTGAAGTAGCTTAAAATTGAAATTCAGGTTTTACAAGATGAAAGCATGACAGAAAGTGTCAGATTGCTGTGGATTAATGTATGTTTCAGAAAATTAATCTCTCAAGAAGAAAAATTATAAATGGCATGCTTTACCCATCTGGCTTAGTAAAAGAGCTGCAGTTAAAATTGTTTTAAAGTAGCAGATAAAGTGAATACTGTTGCTCATCTTGTTTAATTTTGCTAAGGTGTGGGTGCCGACTACTATTAGTGTCACAAAGTATGTTCAGGATTGTTTTGATACCTGTATTTATAAAAGGGGGGAATGGATTCTGTTAAGCGGCTCCTGTGTGTTACATGTAATGGACATGGCAAATATTTGTTTACAGTCTTTGTTCTAATAAACAATGCATTTAAGTTTTAGTGAAACAAACAAAGGAAATAGGTGTATGGATATGTGATTGAGATTAAAGTTAGTCTTAAAATGTAAATAAAATGTGGAAAGTATCCTCTGAGGCTGTGCCATTTCTATAATAATGTAATATATGTATAGTACCTTGCAGAGGTAGCAAAAAGTTAAACACAATGTAGCAGTGGCTCTACATGTACCTTTTATTCTTACCACTATTTCTATATGCTTATTTTATTTGATAACTGAAGGTATTGGGATTATTGCAGAGGAGCAAATTCCATAATCTGCAGTTACACTTGTTTGGACAAACTTGCAGTTCAAAACCCTTTTTAAAAAAATATTTTAAGTATTCATTTTAGAAATGACATTAACTAGGCCACTTGGCCTAAGCAACTCCAGAGCAATTTCCAAACTGGACTGCTGAAATTCTGTCCTGCTTCTGTCTTTTCATCCTTGAAACCATCTTCTGCAGCTGCTACCTTGTTTTTCCATGTCACATTTTTTCCCCCTGCACTTACTTTAACAGCTTTTTTTTTTTAAAATCTTCAAGCTAGTTTCCTTTTTGTTCTGTCTCACTTTCTCCTTACCCCAGCGACACATAAGTGAGAGACGTCAGGCCTTATCATTTTTATTAAAACCTCTTATACTACTGTTAAGAACTGTGTGGACATGCCGTATTTATCCATCTGCATTCCTATGCTTCAAGTGCCAGTGGCACAATCTCATTGGTTAGAATGATTTCTGCCCCTTCAACAGTGAATTCTCCCCCTTCTAATTTTACTTATTCCTTTCTCACTATAGTTGTAGTTGGTGACATCCATGGGTTAGTTCTGCTATAGGTTTCTCAATGTTGTTCATGTTACCTTACTGGAAATGAGACACTCTAGTCTCTTGTGTGGAAAATGCAAAGATTTGTCCAGTTTACTAAAAAAAATTGTAACCTTGGGACTAGGTCAGTGACTTGTTATTCAAAACTTCATCAGTAATTCTCTTGGAAAAATGAATTTAATCAAAAGTCATCAACAGCCAGGGAACTTTCAACTTTGGTATCCTTATTGCCTATCCCTAATATGAAGAAAAAATTGTAAGAAAAGCAATAAACTAAGCTTTATTTTTTTTAATAGAAAATTTTAGGTGGTGGTTGTCAGTAGAGGAAGGCTGTATTTGAGAGTCCTTAAACACATCTGACACATTTGCAGAGTTCACTCAGTGAAATGATAGCTGTCAGCTACCTCATGTCCATGTTATGTAACACATCACAGTATATGACGGAAAATTTGACTGAAGTGATTTTACCACTATGTATTCCTATTCCCTAATTTTAAATTAATTTAGATGTTTTGGATTCCACTAAATAAACTTTCATTATGCTAGCACTGCTAGTCTATATGTAATCTATTAAAATAGAAATGGAACTATTCAGCTCTGAGAAATAAATGTTCACTTTCAGGAATCTCTTTAGATTAAACAACTGGAAGAGATTGAGATACATTGCCAGACTGTCATATGGTTGGTGACAAGATTAACAGACGACTAGTGTGAGTGTGGAGCCATTGAGAAACTATCTCACTCTTCACTGAGTCGCTGAATATAGAAAAGTGTTGGCTTTCTGTTTGCACCACATGTTGTCCAAGTTAACTGTGCAATGTCTATTCCTCCTAGTCTGTTATTTGATTATGGATCTCTGTGGAAATCTGCATGCCAGTTCCAGTTTTTGAGAGCAAGATCCATTTTGCATGTTGCAAACAAGCTGCACTTGATTTTCAAATAGCCACACTGGTTGTACAAAGGGGTAGCTACAAAACCACTCATAATAATGAAATCTAAGCAGGGCAATTTTGAAGCAATTGTCCTATTGAAAAAAGGCCAGAGTTGTAGAAGTGTACAGTTTATCATTAAATAAACTCTTAAAATGTCCATAGATTATTGTACATAGGTCAATAGGTGAGACCCTTAAGGATGATTTCCTACTATTAAAGGATTCAAAACATAACTGCTTGTCCTCCAGTTGGGTCACATTATGATTTGATAAGTCCAGTTTTTTGTCTGGTAATTTATTTTCTGTGCTTTTTTGGGGTTAACTCTTTAAACCAGGTTTTAAAAAATGAATTGTATTATGATATAATAGGATTTTTAAGCATGGGTTTCCAATGGTTAGTGGTTTGTAATTTAATAAAGAAGTTTGTGCTTTTTTTGTAAGTACAATACTAGGGTAAATAGAGCACCAATTTAAATCAAACCACGTGGGGGAGAAAAATCAAAAGCTTCACATGTAGCGCATTTTCAAATTATGTTGGAGAATTGGTATAATAGAAGTGATCTTTAACTGGAATTTAAACTTGTGCTGTACTCTGATACCTAGCAAATGTGTTAAATTAAATTTTGCTGGGTAAATGCATAACAGGAGAAAAATTTACATATGTTGTATTTATTTCATATATTGTAGTGACTTACTGTTTAAAATTTAATGGGCTGCCCTTTATTTCTACTACCTGTGCTATTAATAATATTCTGTATTCTTTTACATTTTGCAAGAAAGTGCAAAGTATTGATATAAGGCCTGATCCTGCAACATGCCTGGCACACTCAAATCCCCTTAAAGTCAATGGTATTTGAGGATGTGTATGTAGCACCTTGCAGGGTTGGGACAAGAGTGAGAGTCCTTGAGATATGGATGCCCAGCCAGTCTTAAATGTTCATTGTTACTGTGAATACATGTAGGGCTGTCGATTAATCACAGTTAACTCATGTGATTAACTAAAAAAAAGAATCGTGATTAAAAAACTTAATCACAGGTTTAATCATACTGTTAAACAATAGAATACCAATTGAAATTTTAATAAATATTTGTGGATGTTTTTCTACATTTTAAAATAGTGATTTCAATTACAACACAGAATATAAAGTGTACCAGTGCTCATTTTATATTATCATCTTTGATTACAAATATTTGCACTGTAAAATGATAAAAGAAATAGTATTTTTCAATTCACCTCATACAAGTACTGTAGTGCAATTTCTATTGTGAATGTACAATTTACAAATGTAGATTTTTTTTGTTACATAACTGCACTCAAAAACAAAACATTGTAAAACTTTAGAGCCTACAAGTCCACTCAGTCCTACTTCTTGTTCAGCCAGTTGATAAGACAAACAAGTTTGTTTATATTTACAGGAAAGAATGTTTCCCGCTTCTTATTTACAATGTCACCAGACAGTGAGAACAGGCATTTGCATGGCACTTTTGTAGCCAGCATTGCAAGGTATTTACATGCCTGATATGCTAAACATTCATATGCCACTACTGGCTTCGGCCACCATTCCAGAGGACCTGCTTCTATGCTGATGATGCTAGTTTAAAAAAAATAATGCATTATTTAAATTTGTGACTGAAATCCCCGGGGGAGGGGGGGGATTGTATATCTGCTCTGTTTCACTCGCATTCTGCCATATCATTCATGTTATAGCAGTCTCGGATGATGACCCAGCACACGTTCGTTTTAAGAACACTTTCAGTGCAGATTTGACAAAATGCAAAGAAGGTGCCAATGTGAGATTTCTAAAGATAGCTACAGCACTTAATCCAAGGTTTAAAAATCTGGAGTGCCTTCCAAAATCTGAGAGGGATGAGGTGTGGAGCATCCTTTCAGAAGTCTTTAAAGAGCAACACTCCGATGTGGAAACTACAGAAACTGAACAACCAAAAAAGAAAATCAACCTTCTGCTGGTGGCATCTGACTGAGATGATGAAAATGAACGTGCTTTGGATCATTATTGAGCAGAACCCATCATCAGCATGGACATATTCTCTGGAATGGTGGTCGAAGCATGAAGGGGACATATGGCATGTAAATATCTTGTGACACCAGCTACAACAGTGTCATGCCAAACACCTGTTCTCACTTTCAGGTGACATTGTGAACAAGAAACGGGCAGCATTATCTCCTGCAAATGTAAACACACTTGTTTGGCTGACCAATTGGCTGAACAAGAAGTAGAACTGAGTGGACCTGTAGGCTCTAAAGTTTTACATTGTTTTATTTTTGATTAAAGTTTTTTTTGTACATAATTCTACATTTGTAAGTTCAACTTTCATGATAGGTGAATTGAAAAATACTGTTTCTTTTGGTTTTTACAGTGCAAATATTTGTAATCAAAAATAAAGTGAGCATTGTACACGTATTCTGTGTTGTAATTGAAATCCTTATATTTGAAAATGTAGAAAACATCCAAAATATTTAAATAAATGGTATTCTATTATTGTTTAACAGTGCTATTGCAATTTTTTTTTAATTGCTTGGCGGCCCTAATTATGATTAATGGAGTGTGTGGGTGACATGCGGCCAACATTACAATGCAAGTAATGTATTTTGCCCTAAAACCAAATTGTAATCTACAATAAGATAAATATTTGGATTATTAATTAGATACTTTTAAATGTGTGGGGGTTTGATTTACTTAGGTGGAAATGTATTTCCCCACTGCAACAGCCTCTGGGAACATTTAAGTAATCAGAACAATAGAGCAAATATGTGGGACCTGATTCTCTGCTTAAACACTGCTGCAAAGGGACTGTAAAACTGACCACCTGAGAATTCTACCAGTATAGAGGCAGTTTAGAAGCTGTACACTAGCCCCTTGCAGCTCCTGATGTAGGCAGTCTGGCCAAAATATGTCTACACTCTTGCTAATCTCAGCTGCAAAGGTACTGCAAAGATTGCTTAAAGCTAGCTTTGGCCTATCTCCTCCGTTTGTTCAGGTCACACACAAAGTGCATTCCAGCCAGACCCTCAAAGGGCCATAATATTTTGATAAAGTATTCATAAGAAATGCGGCTCTAAAGAATCTGTTTTCAAAATATTCTAGGAATTTAGGAATTGCCATATCAGAAGGGGGCAATGGTAACTGCAGATAAGCTTTGAAAAACTCTTGGTAAACACTGAAACCCAAGAAAACAGACGGAGAAAGAAAAGACAAAACATTCTAGAGACCAACCAAAGACTAACCAGAAGGGACTTCTTGGGAGACCTCTGGAATGAACATAAGAAAGGCCGTACCGGGTCAGACCAAAGGTCCATCTAGCCCAGTATCCTGT